AAAATTTAATACAAACTCGTTGTTGCAAATTCAACTCCATTTTTAAAACTGTAAAAAATCGAAAACACGTGTAGAGGTAGATGTACTCAAGACGGTGTAACTTTTACAAATGTCAAGCTATGGCGATAAAATTTGATGGAAATGTCAATGATAGATGTGGCAACCTAACCAAAAAGACAGAACTCAAATCAGCTGACTCAGAGCATCACCTGGTGATAATTCCGGGAACTTTTTGATCAAGGTATATTCAAGTCCAAGTGTTTAATGTTTTACGATGAAAATATCTCATTTACTTTAAGTAAATTATATTATTTATAAAAATAAAAGACATAGTAGACGGTGATTGATGCATTTTTCAGGCAGCGTAAATGAAAACAATTTCTGCAGACTCGAATTCTTAAAATAAAAATAAAAATAACACAATCCGTAAAGGCCATACGAGTCACGGGCTGATGAAGGTGCCAACGATTAATTTCAATCTTAATTAATCATTGATGTGTAGAATCCTCTTTATTGAACGTTTCGACTCACTTTGGAGTCCTCCTCAACAATACATATGTGTAATTAATATGCTGAGTGTTCCGTCAACATGAGTCACTCACAGGTTCCCGACTGTAGTGGATCCTGATTGAAATATCAAAATTAAATTGATTCATCAAAGGATAAAAATCTAAGTAACTCACCTCAAACGGAACATTCAACATGTTTCATGAGCTTTGTAAGTTTATATTAACAACAATTAAATCTGATCTTCATTATATACATTTAGTTAATTTCAGTCTCACATCCCCGAATAATGTAACGTGTTTGTCGAACATTTTATAATTTGTAACGGACAACCAAGACACAAAACAAAACAATCAAGAGAAAAACTAACATACTATTCGCTACATATTAGTCATGAATTATGTGTGTGAAAGACAATTATTGATAATTGATTCAATTTATAGATAAAAAACCTTTTAGCTATAAATTAATTAGTCAGTTCACATAACATCGTCGTATATGTATGATGTAAATCTTCTCTGTCAGAACGCAAATTCAATCCATTTTTTTACATAAGAATGTGCGCTTTTTCAGAAATTAGTCGTTTATTTAATATTCTCTCATGATCCAGAATTTGAATATTCTCCCAATCAAAGTCATGATTCCATTCCATCCTGTGATTCGTGATGACAGACTGTGAATTCGTATTCCAATTGATATGATTCCGATGTTCCGTAATTCTAGAGATCAATTTTCTACCCGTTTGTCCTACATACGAAGCATCACAGTCTTTACAAGTTATTTTGTATATTACATTTTTATTTTGATTTTTGGGGAGAACATCCTTCTGGACCTTAATGAACCTACTCAATTTATTGTTACTATAGAACGCTGGTTTTAAGTTTTCTTTTTTTTGCAAATTCTTAAAAAATCATTCGATGTGTTATTTGTATAAGGAATTAGAAACCAATGAGTTCCTTCAACCCTTTCCGAATCATTATTGGAATTAGAATCTTGTTCAATCCGACCACGTCTAGAAGATAAAAATTTTAATCTTAAGGAAATGGTGTCAAAAATGAACTCCGTTGGATAGTCATTCCTTAACAGCGTATTAATAACTAATTTAATGTTCTTATAATAAAATTTTTCTTCTGATAATAAAATAGCTCTATCAATCATTCCAAAAACTACACCTCTTTTCTGTGACATTGGATGTGAAGATAAGAAATTCAAATAACGTCCCGAAAAAGTAGGCTTATGATACCAATCAAATTCTAACATTCCATCATTCTTAATTATTGTCACATCCAAAAAATTAATACTCTCCCCCCCATTTTCCAATGTAAACTGAAGTCTTTTGTGAATTGAATTAAAAGTCGTCAAAATCTGTCCAATTGACTCGATTGGAGCTGCCATTAAAATATCATCAACATATCTGATATAGAAAGGAATAGAAAATCCCAATTTGCCTAGTACCTCTGTCTCTAAAGCATCACAAGATCTGCAATGATCGGAGAGAGAGGTGACCCCATAGGAGTACCAAATTTCTGTTGATAATATTCATCATTAAACACAAAAAAAGTTGACTCCAACATAAGATACCGCTCCAATAAATTCTTTTTTAGGAATATTAATACCTTTCCTAATTTCATTCCATTTTTTCTCTATACTCTTAATCGCACAATCAATTGGAACATTCGTGAACAATGAAACTACATCTAACGATATCAAGGAAAAATTCGCATCAATTTGAGTGCCCCTTAATTTTTTTACCATAAGCCTACTTTTTCGGGACGTTATTTGAATTTCTTATCTTCACATCCAATGTCACAAAAAAGAGGTGTAGTTTTTGGAATGATTGATAGAGCTATTTTATTATCAGAAGAAAAATTTTATTATAAGAACGTTAAATTAGTTATTAATACGCTGTTGAGGAATGACTATCCAACGGAGTTCATTTTTGACACCATTTTCTTAAGATTAAAATTTTTATCTTCTAGACGTGGTCGGATTGAACAAGATTCTAATTCCAATAATGATTCGGAAAGGGTTGAAGGAACTCATTGGTTTCTAATTCCTTATACAAATAACACATCGAATGATTTTTTAAGAATTTGCAAAAAAAAGAAAACTTAAAACCAGCGTTCTATAGTAACAATAAATTGAGTAGGTTCATTAAGGTCCAGAAGGATGTTCTCCCCAAAAATCAAAATAAAAATGTAATATACAAAATAACTTGTAAAGACTGTGATGCTTCGTACGTAGAACAAACGGGTAGAAAATTGATCTCTAGAATTACCGAACATCGGAATCATATCAATTGGAATACGAATTCACAGTATGTCATCACGAATCACAGGATGGAATGGAATCATGACTTTGATTGGGAGAATATTCAAATTCTGGATCATGAGAGAATATTAAATAAACGACTAATTTCTGAAAAAGCGCACATTCTTATGTAAAAAAATGGATTGAATTTGCGTTCTGACAGAGAAGATTTACATCATACATATACGACGATGTTATGTGAACTGACTAATTAATTTATAGCTAAAAGGTTTTTTATCTATAAATTGAATCAATTATCAATAATTGTCTTTCACACACATAATTCATGACTAATATGTAGCGAATAGTATGTTAGTTTTTCTCTTGATTGTTTTGTTTTGTGTCTTGGTTGTCCGTTACAAATTATAAAATGTTCGACAAACACGTTACATTATTCGGGGATGTGAGACTGAAATTAACTAAATGTATATAATGAAGATCAGATTTAATTGTTGTTAATATAAACTTACAAAGCTCATGAAACATGTTGAATGTTCCGTTTGAGGTGAGTTACTTAGATTTTTATCCTTTGATGAATCAATTTAATTTTGATATTTCAATCAGGATCCACTACAGTCGGGAACCTGTGAGTGACTCATGTTGACGGAACACTCAGCATATTAATTACACATATGTATTGTTGAGGAGGACTCCAAAGTGAGTCGAAACGTTCAATAAAGAGGATTCTACACATCAATGATTAATTAAGATTGAAATTAATCGTTGGCACCTTCATCAGCCCGTGACTCGTATGGCTTTTACGGATTGTGTTATTTTTATTTTTATTATTTATAAAATTATTGTTATTATTTATACTCGAAATAATATTGAATTTAATTTGAAGTTTAATGTTCCACGCGAAGAAAAATATTTGCTAAACGTAAACTTTTACAAATCTAAAAAAGGAAACGTCATTTGACAAAAGCATTTGTGGTGCTTTATAGACAAATTTTAGGAGGTATGTTAGGCTCAGCGATACTGAAGGATGGTAATCCGTTGACACTACACTATGTGATGTTTATACCTGCTATTATGGGACAAGGCACTGTTGAACAACAAGGATATTGGATATCTAGGGCTTGGAGCTGTAATATCATTGGTACTTATGCCCAAGTATGTTTCTTACTAAACGTTATTTAATCACAAATTTATCATCATTTATTATTTAATATACATACATTTTTAAAAACCGTGTAATTTGTAGAATAATAAAACGATGTGTTCTCCTCTCTCTCTCTCTCTCCCTCTTAGACGGAGCTTGGTCATGGCACATTTATTAGAGGTTTAGAAACTACAGCGACCTACGACTCTGAGACTAAAGAATTTGTATTAAATAGTCCGACTTTGACATCATACAAATGGTGGCCTGGTGGTTGTAAGTTTTTTTTTTGTTCAAACTAGCATAGATATATCCAGATCACTCTCTCAAAGTTTATAGAAATAAAATACTTTCAGTGGGTCATACGGCGAATTATGCAATTGTCGTTGCACAATTATATACGAAAGGAGAGTGCAGAGGTATTCATGCCTTTATTGTGCAACTTAGGAATGAGAACACTCATGAACCCTTACCAGGTACGTGAAATCATAAACGCATTTTACGAGTAAACTTTATTATATTTTTTTACCAAATATTGCATTTATAAACGACAAGGGACTTATGTTAAAGGATTCATCTTTGTCTTCAGGTATAAAGATCGGTGAAATTGGCACCAAATTAGGAATGAATGCAACTAATAACGGCTTTCTCGGTTTCGAGAACGTTAGAATACCGCGCGAACACATGCTGATGAAAAATTCTCAGGTAATGGGAAAAAAGAGGACAAAACATTCACGATTGATTATTTCAGGAAAAGTCTAACAGGAAAGTTTAGAGTTCTAATCATCCGAATTTTCAGGTGCTGGAGGATGGAACTTATGTGAAAGCGCCTAGTGACAAACTTACCTACGGTACTATGATGTTCGTTCGAGTGGTATTAGTACGCGATATCTCTAATTACTTATCAAAGGCGGTAACAATAGCTATCAGATACAGCGCAGTGAGACGACAGAGTCAGATAAAACCTGAGTATGTAATAAAAAAGTAAATTATTGACGGAATATCGATAATTAGTTTAAAAAAAGTTTATTACATTATCTTTTATACTATTTTATGCTGTTGGACATGTAGTTTGACGCGAAGTGCATAATAAAGACATTAAATTATAAAATATACAAATCATATTTTATCAGAAATGCTTTAATACCTTTTATTTTTCAACTAGTTTAAAAGTCGGTTAATAATAATTAGATTAAAATAACAGTATTCAGAATTTAAAATGTATTTAAAATGTTTTTTTTTAATTTGTTTCAGCGAGCCAGAATCACAAATTATGGATTATGTTACTCAACAATATAAATTGTTTCCCAATCTTGCTGCGTGTTTTGCGTTTCGAATGTGCGCCGATTGGATTTGGGAGATGTATAACAATGTGACAGCTGAATTAGATCAGGGAGAGCTAGAAAGACTACCCGAGGTATACTAAGATACGTTATTATACATATAAAAATAGAAATATAGAAAATAATAGTCCCAGACTCCGTGTACTGGTTTATTTAGAATTTAAATAATTGTCGTTGAATTGTTAGAGAAATAAAATTATATTTTTTAGCTGCATGCCTTGGCATGTTGTCTAAAGGCAGTTGCATCATCAGATGGCGCTACTGGTATTGAGCAATTACGATTGGCATGTGGTGGACACGGTTATATGGATGCGAGCAACTTGCCGGCGACTTATGGTTTAGTGACTGCTACTTGCACTTATGAAGGCGAAAACACAGTTCTGCTATTGCAAACGGCTAGATATCTGGTGAAAGCTTGGAGACAAGCTATTGGCGGCGAATCGCTTCCGCCGACTGTCGGATATTTAGCTGTTCTTTCGCGTGGAGTAAAACAGCGTCCTTGGAAAAATACTTTATCGTGTATTGTGCAAGCGCATCAAGCAGTTGCCGCAGGGTAAATATATATAGGAAATACATAAAGGAAACATATATTATGCACATAAAATTGATATGTATGGAAATTTATGAGCAGAAGACAGTATTGTAATATTAATATTATCGCAATCTATAATCTATGTTTTATAGCAAAATTCGTTTGGCAACGGAAAACATGGACCGCAGAATACGCAGTGGTACGGCATCAGAAGATGCATGGAATGAAACTAGCATTGAATTAGCACATTGCGCGGAATCTCATTGCCGTGCTTTCTTAGTAATGAGATTCGTTGAAAATGTCAGAGGATTGACATCTGTATCCAAGCAGCTTCGCGAGGTTTTGATGCAACTTTGCGAATTGTACTCGATATATTGGGTACTACAACGACTTGGAGATTTTCTTCGTGTTAGTCCTAATATCTAAAACTTAAATTATTATCGTAATAAAGTGACCGAATCATTTCATTAATATGACTATGTACATATTTTATAATTACAGTTTTCCTGTTTAAATAACGAAGATGTTCCGGCGCTTCAAGCACGCTTCGAAGAGATGCTCGCTGCAATCCGTCCAAATGCTGTCGGTATTGTCGATGGATTCAATATTCGTGACGAGATCCTCGCATCCGCGCTTGGCGCATATGACGGCAATGTATATCAGCGTCTCTTTGATGAGGCAATGAAAAGTCCTTTAAATCAGGAGAGTGTTAACCAATCCTTCCATAAATACCTTAAACCTTTCCTTAAAAGTAATTTATAGTCATATTATTTTTATCACAAATAGTCAGCCATGGTCTATTATCATAGATAAGATCATTTAAAAATTTCAATAAGTTTTATGGAAAAATTTGCAAATATTACTAAAAAACATAAAATTAATTCATAATTTCCAATGCAGATCACACTGATCATTATAATTGCAAATGCTGCAGTATTTGTAAATCTTCTGTAATGAATGATTTTTAAAGTCCCTCTTTTCTTTTTCATTTCATTAGTTATATTGAGCTGTAACGTTAAAATATTATAATTTAAAAAATCATTTAAGAATCTTTCTTACAATATATATAAATCGAAATAAAGCAATCTTTTCGCATGTCACACACTCAATAATTACTAAAATATACAGAAATCTTTTTTCAGTTCCTAGATTGATATATACATGATTGATATAAATAGCTGTAAATTAATCAACTGTTACAAGATTTATTTTCGCTGAAATGTCAAACACATTTAGACTGAACATTTATATTCACTAATGTAGAGTAGTAAAAGTAAAATCAGATATATTTTAGCAATTCATATTATCGAACGTAAGAAAAAAAATGCAAGAAAAAAGATTCACATATTATTTCTGTAGTGAAAAAACAGGAGCTTTAAGTATGACAAAAATATTTCGTTCACTTTTTTATCATAATGATAGTAACTGTCGTACAATACATTATTATGTATGATATTGTATGGAGGTATGTATACAGGGAAGAGGGGGGGATATGTTTCTTGTATGCCATAATTGTATGTCAATACTTCAGGTGTGAATTTAGAATAAAGCAAGTAAAGAATATATGAGTATACATTTTTGACAATAATTAATATTAAAAAAGGCTCCAAAGATCAAATCGAACAAAGGATATGATGCAAATGAAAGCCGACACAGTTGATCGTGTGTAATCCAATATATATATGTTAATCAGTAATTACAGACGTTTTGACCCTAAATTTGGGTCATCCTCAATGTGTAAGTAACAATTATCGGAATCCGTGTAAGAATTTTTATACATTACAGAATATCAGGTGTTGTAATTTTTGAATCGTTAAGCTATTATCCAAGATTAAAAAACTTCAATTATTGTCAGTGGTACTTTAGATTCAAATATTTGGATTTAAACTAGGGCTACGATCTACTTGATGCTACAAATGCTTCAAAGCATTTTTTGATTGATCAATTGGCAAAATGCTTCCGATTGGTCATTCAAAAGCTTCGAAGCATTTGTAGCGTCAAGCGCACCGCACCCTAAATCTCGTAATTTAACTAAAAAATCAAATCAATGTTGAATTAGAATATTGACGTAGTTATAATGTTAAAATTAAATAAAATCGTCTAAACACTTAGGGTCAAAAACAAATTTAGGGTTGGCACCATGACTCCCTTCGAGCAAGGCGAGTGATAGTGCCAATGAGAGCCGACACACAGTTGATCGTGTGTAGTTCAACGCATATATGTTGATCAGTAATTGCAGACGTTTCGACTCTAAAATTGTTTTTGACTCTAAATGTTTAGACGATTTTATTTAATTTTTAACATCTGGAGACACGGTAGTGTCTCAGTGCTAAGATATGGCGTGATTATGACTACGTCAATATTCTGATTCAACACTGATTTGATTTTTTAGTTAAATTACGAGATTTAGTTTGAGTATGCAATTAAATACGACAGACGATAATTGAAGTTTTTTAATCTTAGACAATAGCTTAACAATGATTCAAAAACAGTAAATCGTACATATCTGACATTCTGTAATGTATAAAAATTCTTACACGACTCCGATAATTGTTACTTACACATTGAGGATGATTCAAATTTAGAATCAAAACGTCTATAATTACTAATTGACATATATATATATTGGATTATACACGATCAACTGTGTCGGTTATCATCAGCATTATCATTCCCTTTGTTCGATACATTTTTGAGTTTTACATATACACGCACACTTTAAATATTTTCTTTGATTTATTACAATTCAAAAAAATAAAACTTAAACAACTTATTTTCATATGAAACTTTTATATTCACTCTTTGAAGTATTGCTATATAATTAAGAATCATCCTACATATGCTGGTGTTCCATGTTAAAAAATGTCTATTAAAAGACATTTTTATATGACTCAATTTAACGGAAACGTTATGAAATTGACGGAAATATTTACTTTATCTATTATACATTTATCAATATCTATATTAACATTATGCGATTATTTTATGCATTACATATAAAGTATTTTCTACATTCATGAACCAATTAAAAAAATGATTGATATTTTTGATAGTGATATTTTATAAAATACAAATATTGTATATGTGAAATAAAGGCACACGCAAAGTATTGTTTTACAAATAAAATAATATTAATAAAAAATGTAATTTTTACAGTTAGATGTTCTAGTATGTATTTACAAATTTATCTTCTTCGAGGCAATTTAATGTAAGATACGAATACATACTATATTTTGATATACAAATAAAGTGCAAATAATCTTTCTTCGTTATTTCGGTGCATGGTTCTACGAATCCCTAAATTCACAATCGTATGAAATGGAAGAGATGTTCATCACATCTCAAAGAAGTTTCCAATGCGTTTCCTTAGACGGTATAGTATTTATTTACAGAATAGGAGCGACGACATACATTATTGTTTGTTATACTAATATAGTGCAATTATTAATTTCCGTTAATTAAGAATAACGTAATAATTACTTTGATGTCCGCAACAACGATAATACGGATATTCTAATTTTTTGCATTCGGTAATCGGAATTTACTGGCTCGTCATCGTTGTGCTTTTGTGTGTGTGTGTGTGTGTGTGTGTGTGTGTGTGCGTGCGCGCGCGTGCGTGCGCGTGTGTGTGTGTGTGTGTGTGCGAGCGCGCGCGCGCGCGGCAGAAAGTCGATTTTAAATTTCAGAAGGATAATATATGGGAGAATGATATATAAAACACTTTAATGAGAAAAACCGAAACAAATACGTTTTATCGCAGTTGCGCGAGCGAGTATATAATATATCTATATATATATATATATATATATAAGTACATATACATGTATATACGTATTTTGTGGGTTCGTGCATAGACGGAGATATATACACATATATGTAATATAGTTAGGGAATAATAGGAAGAGGAGCAGGAGCAGGAGAGAAGGAAAGGAGCAATGGGATGACAGTACTTACACTTAAAAAATAACATTGTTAATATTATCGTTATTATTAAAATTAATCCACTTTTAAAATTATTTTCATTCGTCCACCTGGCCTATGGGCTTTGCCTATTAGTATTAGATAGACTTCTCATTGCTATAGTGTTCTTACGGAATTACGTCTTCTTATAAAATATGATTTCATTACAATTATTATTTTTCTCCCCCTCTTCGCTTATTTTCTCTCAGATATTAACTGGCCGTGTGGTGAAGTGTAAGCTAGCAAAAGCTAAGGCAAGCGACACCACAAGGTCAATTAATTACTATCTAACGAACAATTTCATCTATATATCATGTACGATTATTAATAAAGATTACGAGCCCCCAATTTCTAGGTCTTTCCTTCCGTTTACTTCACACGAGATAAGGATTTTCGAAGGAGAGATTAAAAAGATGATAAAAAAAACAGAAACATTATAGATAAAAGCGTTTTATAACACATGCGGTATTTTTAGAAAGTTATAGATTGATTCGAAAGAATCGTGTGAAGTATTGGAGGAATTTAATCAATCCACATTAGAAAAGATGAGAATTAAAATGAAGAATAATATAATACAATGATGAAATATCAGCTTAATGAGTTACAAAAAGGAGAATAGGGGTACTTCTTTGATCATAATCGGCATTATATCTAACTATCGTTACTAATGTTCTTATCATTATTATCCTTATTGGTTGATTTTCTATGTATACCATTCCAAATTTAGATACACTAAAACGAGATTCTGTGAAAGAGAATTCATTAAATTTAGTAAAATTGAGTTGTTCGAAAGCGCAAATAAATTTTGAGACTCCGCGTTTATATACAAATAATCTTCAATCAATTGAAATGCAAGTAAATAAAATTGTGTCATGATATATCAAAGAGAAATTGTCAAAGCAACACTACATGATTAACAAAGATATATTGAAGCAACAAATTCGTCGTGGATGAGAGGGAGCTACATTAGTCTTGATAATAAAATAAATAAGGCGTTTAGTAAACTCTATACATTTCATATAATAATAATAATCATGATCAGCATATTCGGACGTAAAAAGCACGAATCAGCTCAAGAGAGAAACGGAAAGATCAAAACTTGCAGGATGATGAAGTTGAGAGTGCCGTGAGGAGGCAAACAACGTGATTAAGGCGGATTCGTGAGTTTCGTACCAAATCGCTGTTCCTTACGTAGTACATATGGCAGTATCGGCATGATATACTTTTAATTACTCCAAGTCCGATTTTCTGCGACGGATCGGATTCTGCGAAAAGACGACGCTCACGTACTGTCGGGAGGAAAAAAAGAGAATCAAGGATCGGTGCAAGATTAATAAGAAATTATGGAAAATAAAAAACGGGGACGACAGAAAGACAAAACGGCCAAGGAAACACCACGTGAAGTGGCGGAAAAAACGTTAATAAATAGGAGGACTCCGCGATACGGATCGCGTGTCGACGAATGTCGCCATGGGAAAAAATTCTGATACGAACAAATATATACGCATTTGTATCGCTTTTAGCGTGTTCCCTTTCGCTTTCTAATACAGCATTATGGCATCATTTCTGTCGTGCTAAGGCGTGCGCGCTATACTCATACCGCTCTTGGGGTAAAGAGGAACATATTTCTTCTTTTTCCATATCGTGGATACTTCTGTCTATCAAACGTCCGTCTGTCAGCGTCTTTCACTTTATGGCAACGTGACTCTTCATCATTAGAATCTTTGAGACAAAATAGATCTCAGAGACGGATGTATCAAAGATTTTTTATCAGCATCAGAGTCGATTCGAATAATAAAAATGGGATGTTTTATCTCATAGGTGGAA